TTCTACTTCGAAAATATTACTTTAGTTTCCTGTCTACTTTTCGCCTTGTTGGGGTTAATTATACAAGCAAACAAAACCCGAAAAACCTGAAGAATCGCTTGCACGAAGAAAAACTGTCCGAAACCGCTGAGGAAATGGTTCGAAAATTGAATGACAACGGATAGTTGAAAGGTATGGAGCGTGATTCTCAACCGGCGCGTGAACAGTAGGTGAAAAGTTGTGTCAAAATTTGCAGGTAATTTCAAAATAAAGTGAAGGGTTTTTCGGTCTTTGCACCAGTTAGGGAGTTAAGTGCATATTTATGTTTGATTTAGGGTCCAATACGCTTAAAAAATGTTGTTGGGGACTGACCCGCACTTTATGTTTGGGTTTAGGGATTTATCAGTATTTGCCCCTTTTGCCATTTGCCCATATTTTATATTAAAACAATCTAAAAAAAATACTCAATCAAATAATTAGGAATATTACAGGCTATTCCATATCATTTTATTTTATCTAGCTTAATAATTAAATTTAATTCGGATAAATTCATTAATTTTGAAGTTAATAAGTTTGTACTTCTGTTTTTTTCTTTTTAAATGGTTCGGATCTAATTTATTAAAAGTTTGATTGGTTCAAGGAAAATAGTAGGTGAAATGAAAAGGTGATGTAAAATAGTTTTCTTGTTTTACATAGTATTTTACTTGAAAATGTGAAAAAAAAATTGTACTAAAACAATGGAAATCAAAAAATATGAGGAAAATGTATCATTCTATCTCTTTATTTACCTATTTTTCTTCTCTATCATCTCTTCCTCTCTCCTCAGTCACCCCTTCTCTTATCTCTCTTATGTCTCTCTCTCCTTTTTTTTTTAATATAATTAAAAGCATTAATAAGTAAAGGAAAATATATATCTCATCTTTGTTACACACATAAAATGTCCATCCTATTTTACATTTTGTTTTATTCGTTACATGACATTTTTTGGGTTAGAATTTATTTTAAAATAAAAAAAAAATATCTCTTTTATGGTTAGAATTTATTTTGAAATAAAATAATCCAAACAAAGCCTTAGTTTTCAATAACAATTCATTTTTATTTTCATGTTAATTGGTATTTTTCTCTATTATTTTCTCTTAAGAACCAAACAAAACTAAGGAAAATGATTTTCCTTAAAATTATTTTCATCACAATTTTTCTTAAGAACGAAACACAATTGCAATTTTAAAAGTTTTTGATTTCTTTTTACTTTGCATTTTTATTTTCTTAATTTAAAATCCATGAACCAACCTAAAAGTAAAGTGATTTAGGGGAATCTTTGTGAGATATGAACATGGGGTGTTTCGCCCTAGAAAAATCGAATTTATATCCATCTTATTATCTTACAAATCCAATCAAATTAGGCCATTTAACAACATCACAATTGATCCACTACTATACAACAAACAAATATTTTGGTTTTAACAAAGTGGCCCACACAATAGATTATTAAAAACTATTTTTGGTTTATATTTATTACAAACTTTGGAAAATTAAAAAAAAACTTTAATTAACCATCAAACCTTAAAATTCCTCGAACTGAATATCCTTATGCTGTAGAGGAGTATACTCCCCAAGATATCCACCAAGATGATCAGCTAACGATGACTTATCGATATTTTCGTGGTGATACGACTTGCAAACGAAGTAAACAATCGTCTCCATAATGAGTTGAAATAGCATAGAAATCGATAGCAAAACAAGGCAAATAATCCCATACACAATCCTTTTCCCAATCCCTTCATGTCCGAAAACCACGTGAATTTTGAACATATGTTGAATCCCAAAGAAAGATAAACCCAACACAACGAAAACCGCAGCGGAAATTCCCATCTTGCCCTTGATCAAACCCTGGCTTTTCCTCATTGCGTTTAGCCCATAACTCTCTTCCAACACGGAAACCACACTTGCCAAATGCCATATCACCGTAATATAGAGAAGCCCCATGAAGTATGGGATAGATAATACGAGTAGAAAAGCCGTACCACTAACATAGCCCATATGCTCGAATCCTTTGGAGAACATTATCGAGAACAATATTAATATACATAGAAAATTGTACACAAAAACGAAGACGAAATTCCAAGTGAAAGTAATCATAAGCCTCTTCCAAACCTTGGGGACCACAGATAAGACTTTGTTTAAGGTTGTCTCTTTTGCTGTGTAAATGCACGCGATCGTGTAAACGACTGCAGATGTTGAGAGAAGGGATAAAATTACGAAGAATAGCAAGTACCCGATCTTGAAGAGCCAGAAGGTCATCCATTCGGTGGTTAACGTGTTGTCGATTTTATTGTAGGATTTTGAGCCCTTTGAAAAATTGAGGAGCATAAATTCATTGTGATCGATTTGTGTGAAGATTATTTTGGAGATTTGGATGTGGGCTAGGTATATGAAGGAAAGAGGGAGGATCAAGAAAATTGTAATTTGAGTGAAGATTTTTCTCCATGATGAAACTATAGTGCATGATTCTTTTAGTATTCCAAAAAAACCTAGGAATTGGATTTCATCTTGTTCTTTATCCATATAGCCTTGTTCTTTTTTCTTTTTTCTTCTTTTTTTTTTGGGTATGCTATGAAATATTTGGAAGGAATAAAGGGATGTATGTGTTTATAGAGGTTGAAGGATGAATTGGAGAATATGTATATAGATATATAACTTGAAAGTGTTGAGGGTAGACTTTGACTATTTCGGATTTGAGTTTGACCTTTTGGTGTCTTAAGGGAATTGTCCAATTTTCCAAACTTTAATTTCAGCAAGTGGGACAATGATAGGAAAAACCCAACATGAAGAGTGTGGATACAAGGAACAAACTATCGAGACACGCATGACATAATATATAGGGGTAACTTACAGCCACATCTGAGGTAAGGTTAAATTACGAAAAAATCTTTAATGTTTAGATAAATTACAACCATTATTTATATTATGAATATTCTTACACATCCAATCCTACGGTTTCAAATTTCGTGAAATGTTATAAACTATGTAAAATATTCTCCAATTAAAGCAGGATAAAATAACGTAAACTAAGAGGAATAATATTTTTGCCTAGCACGGTACTCTCTTGATTTATTTGCATTGCTTATTAAATTAATTTTATAAATTTTAAATTTTAAACTTCAAAACTAATATTTATAAATATTACAAAATTGTTAATTGCAGCAACAACACATTTGGACTTGGACTAACTCTCAATAGAAGAATTTGTATATAATTTTTTTTTCTCTCTTTTTTTTTTGGGTCAAGTTAATAGTTTGACCTAGTCGTCGCTATGAAATTATATAGTAATCAACTCAATGTAATTAGGCAATAAAAAATAGAAGTATATGTTACATCAGAAGAAAGTTCTTGGATAGTTCCTTAAAGGCCCTTTTCACCCATTGTGGCCAAAGTCAAGTTTGACTATATAAATATTGAACCAGTCTACACGGCGTGTTAGCGTCCAATGTTGATTGGCTGAGCAAACGAGAAATGGTTACATCAACTCCAATGGAAAGTTAACCAAATGGAAAATTCAAATGATGTTTGAGATAATATTTTGATACTTCTGAAAAATTCATATGTTGAAACCTATATGTAAAAAATAAATTATTATCAAATTTTCGTTGGAATATATTGAGATTTTGTTTTTGTTTCCTAGGTTAAATAGAAAGAGCTAATTCTAAGAATATTTTATTCCCCTTTTATTTTTTTGTTGCATTTTTGCACTTCATAAAAAAATTATTCATTTGATTTTTAACTTTTTTTTGGAATGAAGGAACTCGCACCCAACCGTATAGGTGTGCAGGGTAAATCTACACTCTCGTATAATATAAATTGCAAGACGTAAACCGATGATTCGAACTTGAGTCAATTGACACAAACTTAGTTGCTACAACCGCTAGGCCATCTTTTATGAAACAAAAAAAAAAAAAAACTTTTAACGCCTCCATTGGAGGACGACTTTGGGCCTTTGGGGCATCAAAATGGTAATTTTATCATTTGATTTTTCTATTGGAGTTGCACCTATAAGTACTAAAGGATACCCTCTCTACTGCACAATATTTGTTACAAGAAATTTTAGTGTTTCATATTATTTGTCGACAATTTTAATATTGCATTAGTTATACAATTTTGTTCTTAGTAACTCTCCAAGTACACTCTCCTTGCATTAATTAGTATACATTTTATCTTTTACTAACAATATCTATTTTTCTAAAACCAAAACATATTTATTGAAATTCTCAAGATTTGCATGTAAAAATGTGAGAAACGCATCTATTTCGAAAAGGAAGGAGTACTCTACTGCCATTTTACAGATGTGAACATCAACAATGTATTTACCATATGCATATATTGGTGATATTTTCCGAAAAATCGAAAAATAGAACACATAAAAAATGAAGTATTTCCCAAATAAAAAGCATTCTCATACACTTCAATCGGTAGCATAGGGCTCTTAGCTCTTCAAGACTCTATTATCTTGTTTTGGAACAAGTATTTAATTTCATACATAATATAATCACAATAGAATCAAACTGGTCAAATATTTGCCCTATAATTTTAAGATGGTGTTTGGTTAAGTAAATATTAAACATCTGATAAATTTTTACTTCTAATAAACTATTTTAAGACTTGATAAATTATTACATCTTATGATATATTATTACGTCTTATTTACGTGATTTGGATGTGGCCCAAGTTTTGTGTGGATTTAGAGTCCATTTTTTCATTTTCATACCCAATGTGATAATTTGCAATTTTCATAGTGTC